GTCGAGCTCAGAATCTGGGATTTTGATATTAAATGAGTTGTCTGAGGGTCAATATGATTATATTTTTTTGGGGGTAAACGGTGTTATCATCATGTTAGATCATGTTATAGTGGTTAAACAACCCATTTGAGTCCTTTTGAGTTCACCCTGAGACCGTTACAGCTGCACTTGAGCCTCTTTGAGATTATTACACTCTTGGGCGCATCAAAAAGGTAAATGAGGAAAATCGAGCGACTTCGATAGAATTTGAGATAATTTATGCTGCTCCAAAAAAACAATGAAAAATACTTTGAAATAAATTGAGGCGGTTTGAGAACCACCCCCATGCAATTAAACTATTTTGATTGGACCTCGGTTGGGTCAGAGTCTCCAAAATGCCTTGAGCATCGGTTGGTGAAACAGTGCCGTCAATGCCTTGGCAGGTTTCCTTGGAAGTATGTTTGGTTGTGTTGTTTTGTTGTTTGGTGCCCCCCCATTCTGTGAGAGCATTTGAGTCAGATTGAGCGAATCCAAGTGACGCTAGCCGCTAGCCCCCCATTATGATCATTATGTGAGAACATTTGAGTCAGCTTGAGCAACTCTGAGTGAACAGATCCTTGGACAAAAAAAACATTGAATATCATTGAATCATTTTGGTTCCATTTGGTTGAAATTGAAACCATTTGAGAAACTGGTCAATTAACAACAAAAACTTGCAATTGAGACAGTTTGATTTTTTTTTGAGTCATTTTGATTTCTTTTCTTTTTGGTTGTTGGCTGTTTGGTAATGTCGTGTCATCAAATTTGAGACATCTCCAATCAGCCCCTTCTTTCATTCCAGCGAGCTGTTCTAAGCCAGTTAAGTTGCACACAGAGAGCGTGCGAAACATTTCGAGATTTCAACATTTGAAAATGGCCTCTCAATTTCTCTGAAAAAAATGCCGAGAAGATTCTGTCAGTTTTGGTTTGTTTCGAGTCGCGTTTGAATGCAGTGCGAGCATGTTTGAAACCTTTTGAATGTTTTTGAGGTTAAAAAAAATTATTCAAAATGTTGCATTTCCTCAAGGCCATTTGCTCTCCCTCTGCAGATAGTCTATGACGAGGGCACGTTTGTGCTGTAAGTGGCATCAAAAATGCCGCGCGTGAGAGCACCTCAAATGAACGCCCGGCCTTAACAGATACGGTAAGAACCCCAAGTGTGGCTTCACTGCTAGGGGAATGACTGCGGACCATAACACCTAACAACTATGATCGCCCAGATCCTCAACTTCTTAGGCATGTTCTCCGTCCAGACGGTTGGAGTGAGACCTGCATACATTGATGCAACTCGACATGCTTGGCAGAGGGGTTGCGGCGCAGCAACGGTTTCTGGCAGTCGAGAGAGGTACCACAGCTTGAAGAACTCAGGACATCGCAAATCAGAAGAAGCGCACGAAGACGGATACAGGCCCACAGAAGGTGAAATTTGATCAAGCTTATGTGAAGAGTCCTGGCCGCAGAAGTATACAAGGGCAAGGAGTTTGGGTTGCTTTGTGTCTGGTGCAATTCACACACATTCTTTGGCCGTGACTCAGGAAGATTTGCCAATACTTCGGAGAAGAGAAAGACGGGGAATCTCTCCAGACGGACTGGGCAAAAGCTCAGCCAAGCGACAAGGAAACAAAGCAAGGCTGGTCTGACTAGTCTGTGATGTGCATTGTTTTAGCAAGGTTTTTCAGTCCTTCTTGATTTTTTTGATTGTGTTGGACTCTTGTTAGATTGAGCGCATCAAGTCCCAAGGAGTCGAGTGGCTCTTGGAGACGGGTTTTGACGATGCTTTGCTTTAGAATAATCTCCAGTTTCCAGGGTTTCTTCATCAGACCTTGCCTGTGACAGTGGCCACAGTATCTTAGTCAGGGTTTGCAACGCTTGACAGTGGACTGAGGACGACAAGAAGGCTGACATTGTCGCGGTAACCCTTGCCGAACTCATGAAAAGGCGCCTGGTCCCATGGGACACTTTGAAGGAATGCTTCTCAGCATCGCTTTCGGGTTTGCCAGAATTGAAGATCCGCGGCTGCACTTTTTACTATGATCATCCAATCGAAACTAGACGACGGATGGCCCGAGAGCGTAGAGGAGCATAGTGAGAGGTACGGTATAAAAATGAAGATCTTATAGCAAAAACACTTTACACACAGACGCTTTTACACACAGACGCTTTTACACATAGACCCTTCCGCACACAATCACTTTTACACGCAAACACTTTTGGACACAGACGCTTTTACACACAGACGCTTTGACACACAGGCCCTTTTACACACAAACACTGTTACACACAGACCCTGCTACACACAAACCCCCTTCACACAAACACGTTGGCACACAAACCCTTTTACACACAAACGCTTGTACACACAAAAGGTTCTACAAACGCTTTTACACACCAACGCTTCACACACAAACCCTTTTACACACAGACGCTTTGCACACAAACGCTTTGACACAAAAACGCTTTGACACACAAACGCTTTGACACAAAAACGCTTTTACACAAGAACGCTTCTACACACAAACACTTTCAAAAAATTATCAGTGACATCAGTTTTTGACACTCGAACCTCATGTCGTGCGAAAGGGTTGCCGCCGAGGATGTAAACTGCAAAAAACAATCAGTTTTTGACGCACGAACCTCATTTCGTGCGAAAGGGTTGCTGCCGAGGATGTAAAACCACAAAAAACAGTCAGTTTTTCACGCGCGAACCTCATTTCGTGCGAAAGGGGGGTGCACACAAATCAGGACGAAACATTACCTTGTGTGTGTGCGCGTGCGTGGATGCACTACACGGATCCATTTTTCCCGATAGCGTCTGAGTCTGAGTCAGACTGAGTGAAGGGTTCTTCTAAACGTGGAGGTCGCATCTTCACAAACTCACACCTTCACATCTTCCACCTGAACATCTTCACATCTTTACACCTTCACATCTTCTTAGCTTTACATACTCACATCTTCACATCTTTACATCTTCTTAGCTTCACATCCTCACATCTGCACATAGCTATGCCCTCTTTAACGTTGGATGTCAAAAAGCTCCTCCCCAGAAAAAATACGATCCCGCATTTAAGTGGGGATTTCAATCGGCGACAATTGAAATCTATATATAATTATTTTTTGCTGATGAACTTGTGATATTTGTAGTGCTTGTAGAACCCTGTTGCATGTTGATTGCGTTACCTGTTCCACCTTAAAGTTTTTTAAATTCAAAGTGTAATAAGAGAATTTAAGAGAACGAGAAAGAAAAAGAGAAAGGGAAAGAGAGAGAGAGAGAGAGAGAGAGAGAGGAAGAGGAAGAGGACGAGGAAGAGGAAGATAAAGAGAAAGATAACGAATTTCGTAAAAATGTTTTGCTTTCTTTTCTCGGCCCCAGGATCAGCTCTGGAAAAAAATCCTGCAATTGTGAACCTTGTGAACAAACCTACTAAAGCGAACTGGGCCCTCTCATGGCCCAGTGCCTTGGAGATTTCTGGAAAACTGTTCTTTAATAAGCGTTTAGTAGGCGGTTTGATTCTTGTGGGAAAGGCTTGGGCTTTGAACTTGGCAATTGCTTTTGTAAAAGGTTTTTCTTCCTTCTCTTGGCTCCAGGATCAGCCCTGGAAAAACTTGTTGCAATTGCAAACCCTGAGAACAAACCTGCTAAAATGAACTGAACCCTTTCGTGGCCCAGTGCTGGAGATTTGTGGAAAAACTGTTGTTTAATAAGGGTTTAATAAGCGATCTGATTTTTTTTGGGAACGGCAGACAAGCACGATTTTTTCCAGAAAACATGTCATTTTTTTTTCATTCAAACATTTTTTTCCAACAAAAACTGGTCTCCCAAGATTTCTTGCCACAATAGTGAACCTTCCAAACATTTATGGGGCCCTGAATAATTTGGATTTTGTTTGGCACAATAGCGAACCTAGCTATTGATCAGGATACAACGTTATATAGTCATAAAACAGAGGCAATGACAACCATTCCATTTTGCCTCCCTTCTTGCAATCTGAGGATGGATGCTCCCCATTGTGATGTCATGGTCCATTGTTTGGTTGCACGCCTGCTAATGTTGGAGAATTTCAACCAGGTGCCTTAGCTAGCGTTACAGACGGGTTTTCTTGGGTTGTCTGTAGTGTTGACCAGATCTTTGGAGCATGAACCCGCAATGGCATGGGCAAAGGTTCGGCATTGATTATATGATTGTTTAGTAAAAAATATAATACAATTCAATGTATATATATATATATGTGTGTGTGTGTGGGAGTCGTTCTAAAGGGCTGCGTAAGGGTTTTAATTGCCAAGGCCGCCAGGGTTCACCATGAAACCCTGCGATCTTTTTTTGAGTTAGCGACAGTAACTTTTTTTTTGGGCGAAGGATTTAGCGAAACAGAATAATATGAGACCCTCGCAAAAGATAAACGTGGGGTTCGCGAAAGATTCACGAACGTATTTTTTTTTATTCGCGAAGAATGGCCGTTTGCAGATGCAGGAATTTAGAACAACTGCCATATATAAAATACACATACGTACCTCAAAACATGTTCGGTTTGAATACTATACCATATCTAAATTCTATCAGTATGGTTTGTAGAAAATTTGACCCACAGTTGCCAGGAAGCTGTGAGAGCATCACCTTCATGGCGAGCTAAGGTTGTACTGAAGCCCATCCAGACTTTTGTCTCCCACAATGAGAACAGGGACCTTGGTTGGAGTTTACTGTGTCTTGGCCGAGTTTCAGTATCTGACTTTACCAGCGTAGCCCTGCTCCTATCTGACTATGCAAGTTGAGATCTGTCGTTCTTGACAAATCTTGACATTGTGATGTGCTCTTCTGTCGACATGTTCCGTTCTTCCTTTGTAGTAAGTCTGATCAGCAGCAAGAAATGAGTTGAAGCGGAATCAACTTTTCCATCGTGGTCATCATGATCGTCGAAATGGTTTTTGGCCGTCACCAGGCTTGGCATTATCAAGAAGTTGAAGACTGAGAAGGCTAACGACATCGTTAAAAAGGCGCTTAGCATTAGCAACTTGGCATACATTGACATTGTACTCTGGACATTTCTGGGCTATATAATTATGTTTCTTCTTGAAAGGCAGCAAGATGCCTTGAGCTTGATACTTGAAGATACCCGAGAGAGAGAGAGAGAGAGAGAGTGAGTGAGAGAGAGAGAGAGAGAGAAATCCAAGCTTGTGCAGGTGAAAGGGAGTTCGCGCAATCATGATTAGCAGGTATCAACAGATATCAACAGTGGTCTTCTGCTTTCAAGACTTGCTCACGTGTCAGGTGAGTTTGCGTCCTGTGCTGCAACAGCCAGGAATACAACTGTCTCAGATGCCAAGAAGCTGCTAGAATCAGCGTAGTTGGACTCCGCCTGGCTGGAACCAGCAGAGCTGGAATCAGCGCAGGAGCCGCCGTGTTTTGTTGGGCTTTTCATTTTCCCGCACAGGTAGAAACGAAGCTGTGGCTGACTCTGCCCTTGGAGAAGCGTGATCCAAACATATCCAAACCACATGGTAATTCATCCGAGAGTTCCTGAGTTATGAAGGTCTGGCACAGCTCTTTAGATGAGGAATCAAGCGTCAGAGCCACCGTTCGAGGCAGCCAATACGGTTGCGATATCAGCAAGCTGACAGTGACTCATCCCGAGTATTCCCTCTTAGCGACGGTCTGCAAAACAAGTTGGAAGTGGTCCGTGATGGTCCATGCCTGTGAAAGCAGAAGCAGGGGCCTGAGAATCAGCACACAGTACAGGCGTGCGCCAAATTCTCTCCACTCTTTGAAACAAACTGGGAATACCTCAAACCTTTGAAGCTATATAAGCTATCAGTACAGCTTTGTTTGTAGCACCTTTTGCCAAAACATGCAAGCCTGAACTGAAATGAGGATGCGAATGACACGGTTCGCACCAAGGACTAGTTTGCGACATTTCCCAAAGGCCAAACGTAAAACTGCAAAGATCAGATTTGTGAGATCGTTGCAGTGGTGGCCCTTGAATTCATGTCCCGAAACGGGAACAGGTTGGAACAAGTTTGTGCAGGTGGGTTTGTCCCAAAGAAAGCAGGGTGCCCAATTTGGAGCAGGTAGAGTGCAAGTAGGGCAATGTGAGCACATACGTGCTGGACAGGATTGCCACAAGCTTGACTCAGCTTCATCCCATGACCATGTGATACATCCTCAGGTCATCCATCTATACAGCCACATCTACACACACCGAGCGAGGGAGAGAGAGAGAGGTCTATATATATATATACATGCATACGCAAAAAAACATATGCCAGATGCCCATAGATGCGTTATATGTAATTATGTGTTTCCAGATTTGAGTTAGTGTGGCATCGTGACAACGAGTCACATGCACCTGCGGTGGCAATTCTGATGGATTGTCAGCTGCGATCATTTTTGATCGTGAAAATCTTCTGGCTGCATCCACGCACTTTAGCTTTGCAGCTACCACAAGGCTTCAAACGCATTGCTTCGGCTGAGCAGGCAGACAAGGAACCACTGAACATGATAGCTTTCAGCGACGACCATTCGTGTCATACAAACAATTTGAAGCGGTGTTTAGAAGCCATGGCTTCTTTATTCATCAAATGCAAGCGTGTCGACAACATACCCAATAGGCCCAATAACATGTCCTTATAAACTGTGGACAAAGAGAGCGCGCTGCCTTGGCCAGCAGAAGTGCATTAGGAAACTGACCTTTGCAGTCATCAGCGCAGAAACAAGGAGCCATCTTGCGCATCTTGTGGTCTGCTGGAACTTGACCTTGTGATTACTTTTGCGCTGCTAGGAATTCTGATGGTGTGGCCCTCTTGTGATTGCATAAAGTGGTAAGCCACTGCAATCTTCATTTGGTTTGGCCCAAGGGCTCCCAAGTCACGATCCTTTTTTTTTCCCATGGGCTCGCCGAACGGCGACGATCAAGGTGCAAAGACACGCCCACACTACGTGGCGAATCTTTTGTTTGGTTGGAGCCGTCAAGGATTCATGGCAGAAACTTCTGATTTACAACAGGTGCAGAGGGACGATGACAACGCAAGCAAAAAACAGCACGGTCCTCAGAGCCCCGCTGTGAGGGTCAAGATGCAGGAAGGATTTCCTTCGGTTCCCTGGATTCAAGGCTTGAAATACCCACCACATCAATGGTTTGACATTCAGAAGAGCTCGCTAGCAAAGGAAAGCCAGGCTGGGTTTCCTGGAAGCACTGAACATCAGCACCCCTTCCTCTTTGCCACGAAGAGACGCTAAGAGTTTGTGTAAGGAACCCTGCAAAGTCTTTTGGAGTCTTAGTGATGCAAGCTGCCTTATGTCAGACTCAGCGACGAAACTTCCGACGAGCACACCCGGATTTAGCAGTGTGAAACTGAGTAAGAAGTTGTGGTGGCATGGTGTCTGTGTAACACTACTTGTATGTATTTCTCTGAATTCGAGCCTAAGCCTGGCGCAACACTAGAAAGCGAAGGCGCCAGCTCCTCGCTTTTCGCCGGATGAACTTGAAGACCCAGATGCGACCTCAGCATTTTTGCTACTGCACTTTCCAAAAGGTGTGCATGTGCTGAGCTCATGTGCTGCCTCGTCCTACTTTACGATCCTCCTACTGTAGGCCCCAGTGCTTTTAAGTTGGTTGGGGGACGGCCTTGCAGGCCAAGACAATAGTGCTGCCAAGCGAGATTTTTGCAGCAACGTGGACAGCCAGCATCTCCAGAGTAGGAACCATGCAAGGCTCTGGGAAAACGGTGGAGGTTTTTCGTTGTCGAGGATGGCCATTGCAATCCGACACTGCTTTAAATTCTTGACAGGCACATCTTGCTGGCGCCAAAATCCACAGAAAGGCAAGGGACAGACAGCAGCAGATTCTCAGCAAAGTTCAGTAAAGTGGTCTCACTTGTGGCCATGGGTTGAGGCTATTGAGGCTGTTGAGGCTGTTGAGGTCCTGTTGCACTATGAAATCTCTCCAGGGCCAGCACCGCACCTCATTCCTCCACGACCAGTGGTGCACTGCAAGAGCCCTGGGTCGAGTGCCTTTTCTGTGAAACGGATTGCATCGCATTACGGTGCATGATATATTGGGATATCTTGCTATGCTATCCTTTTCTCCTTTGATGAGGTAGTAGCACTGGCGAGATCTACGAGCTGGGTGGCCCTGTTCATCCTCAGGTCTGCTGAGGGAAAGGTAGGGAAAGTGAACGTGTGGCAGAGTTAGTCTAAAGCAAAATTCGGTGACCATATGGCATTTTGACGAAGCCACGCTGAGAACAGTTCCCGCTCTTGACAGGACAATCTTGCACTTCCTCAAGTTTGCATGGCTCCAGACTTCAAGGCCAAGGCCAGCTTGTCTATGGGGCTATTCAGAGATCCTGTTCTGAGCAGCTACACCGTGGCCGCACCACGTCTTACATGTAGCCAACAATGTAGCCACTCATGCCTTGCAAGGTGAGCTGGCCAAAGCTGCCTGATTGTGGACAACGAGTTGCCGGAATCCCTATGCAGGCTCTTGCTCGAATGAAGTCTGCAGATGCGGACCGAGGTCCTTCACTTTCTTGGAAAAAGATGTCAGGTTTTGAGGTGTGTTTGCTGCCCATCGACGTCACCGGCTGAAGCTCCTGGCAGGTTGCTAGCCCAGCAGCCAGCTCCTCAGCCACAGGCGACGGAAGTTTGCTGCCCTTGCACTTGTAGAAGTGATAGTGCATGGTCAGACGCTACAAGCCGATTTGCCATAGATGCATCGTGGTTCTTTTTGATTTTTTTTGCGCTTCCGATGATTGAGACCAGTGGGCTCAAGTGCAATGCCTGGCCGTGTGCCATGGCGAACAAGGATGAGATCGGCATCACAGCTTGGATTAGCTGCTTGCTTTGCACTGGCGTCGCTGATGCACCTTGGCCCATCAGGCCATGACCTGAGAGAGAAAGTTCCGGGAATGGCTGAGTTCAGCCTCACTATATCTCAACCTAAGTCTAAGTCCTGTTTCTTCTCCACGCGGGAGTGACTACTGTTGCTACAATCACTATCGCAGGTATTCGCAGGTCACCATTCATCGCCAATCCTTTCATGACGCCATGATTTGATTTGCACCATGATCTGCCAGCAAGCGGGAAAAACAAAAACGCACCTTCTTATTATATCTTATACGATCTTATTATAATGGTGTTTGGTTTTCTTACTCGTGCTTCGCCCCGAAAGATTCTGCTTACAGCACAGCACATTACTGCACCCAGTCAAGAGATGTCAGTAACATGTCGCATTCATATGTCACATGTTGCCACATGCATTCATATAATTGTATACATACCCTCAAGTTGGCATGTTCTAGAATGGCTAGCTCTTGGGGATGAGGTCTCGGAGTTCTAGACTGGTATCGGGACCATTTAACAACCCCTACGCGAGAACCATTGTGGAACGTCGGACGTTTGTATATTATATAATGCTATACGATGATGTATGGTGGAGGTTTTGTGCAGGTATTGTGATCCCCAGCGAGCCGGTGGTTGAAGCCAATTTGCTACTTTGACCTTCCTGTTGACACCATGGTTTATGATGGTCTTTATGACTGGCCACATCAATGTGGCACGAACACCAAAAAGATGAAGTAAAAACATGTCGAATTCACAGTTCAGTTTGTTTCTTGAGCTCTTGTTAGAACATTTCTGACTGGGGGAACTTGTGGATTCAGCTCAGTTTTGTGGTGGTTGGCTGTACCTTTGCCTTTGCATTCGCCGCAACAATGCATTGTTTTTTGATTTTTTTAAATGCATGTTTGCCTCTTTTGTTGTCACCTGAGTCACACATAAAGTGGCTTTTGCATGTTGTGTCACAAGTGGCCGTAAAATCCCGCATCAGAAATGCGCCTGCGTTTGCTAGTGATTTGCATGCATTTGGGTTCTTTTTTTGAGTTGAATTCTGCAAAGGCTTGGGTCAAATACTGTCTAGCCGGGCATCTCTGACAAGAGAAGGGCCCAATAGGTGAAGTGAGCGGCCAATTGCTAGGTAGAAATTTATCCAACCAAAAGTTAAGGAACTATCCCCGAACCTTTGTTATAATAGGTAAACATTTTTCAAATTTATACTTTAGGTAGGCCTTCTCTTTGTTTGTATTATTGTTGCAGTACGGTGGATCTAACACGGTATCCCTCAACTTCTGCTGGAACTCGACCCACCCCAACAGTAAGGAAACCATTTCAGAACCCCCCAGCAGCATGCTTTGCGAACTTTGCAAAGTCATCCTTTTTTGGTGGTAGTGGCTCTGAAATATGCATAAATTTGCTGGGTCTACTGGGTCTACCATCGTGTCCACCAGTGTTGGATGGAATTGAATCCAACCCAAAGTTAAGGAAACCATCTCAAATCGTTCCCCAAAACACAATCATTCTCAAATATAAGAAGCCGCCCCCTTCTGTCCGTATGTGTCATTGCATCCCATATAAAACACACTGCAATATAGCACGATGACTAAAGCTGTTGCCGCTCGAGTGAAAAAGCACTTGCGTTGCTTGCTTAACGGTTTTATCCCATCTTTTAAGTTTTTCAGTCTACTTGGGTGTTATATTATAGGCATAACACCAGCTGAAACCTGAAAATACAGGTTATCAGCCGTAGTCTCTAAAGCCATGGAAAGGACACCTGGTGACATTTCTGGACAAGGTGGTGCCATTGTCCCAGCTACAAGGTCGATGGCGTCTGCACACACTGGAGCCCCGTCGGATGTTTCGGCTGGGGCAACTCCCACGCCCATGACTGTAGATGAAGGTTTCTTCAATCAACCAATTCAGGCGTACTTTCACTTTGTGCAGAACAATCTCACCTACATACATGAAGGTAACATTGACGCATTTAGACGCGCAGCTGAGGAAAGGCACGCACAGATCATGGAACACACGGTTCAGCAACTGTACCAAGAGTTTGAGCAAGTTTGTCTTTAGTGAGATTGCCCAACACCGCGCAGAAGCTGAGCGTAGACATGAGCAGATGACAGCAGAGTATACAGTGCCCCAAACGGCAGCTGAGCATGAGGTCACAAAACTGAGGAAGGAACTTAGCGATGCGAACGCAAAGCCAAAGAACGTTGCAAGTGCAGTTGCGCTGGATGCTGAGCAAAGAGCAAACCAAAAGGTAGCTCATGTAACAGCCTAGTATGAACAAAGGTATTCCGAACTCAGAGGTAGCCCCGAGGCAGACTGTAAACGAATCGTGGACGACACAGTGGAACATGCAAGAAAAGGTATGGAAGGATTCAAGAAAGAGGAACAAGCTGTAATCCAGGAGATGAGGGAGGAGTGCAGTAGACAGGAATCTCAGTCCGCTGAACCCAACTTCAACTTCAAGAGCAAGTAGAGGAACTCAACAAGCACAGCGCCCCTGAGATCAAGAATGATGAAGTCGGCAACGATGACGACGGACTAGGCGGGACAAATCTGGATTTGTACATGACCCCAAAGTCGGTTGGTACGAAGGCTGGAGCAGAACCCAAGCCTAGCTCAGGTATGGACGGCTTAGACGCAAAAGAACGGTTGAGCATTCTGTTTGCCACTGCCCCTGCAGGATCAGCAGCACCTCCAAGATTACCACCATTACCCGTGCAAAGGCCACAACATGAAGAAGCAAATCATGAAGCAAGTGTGCCTAGCCCAGCCTGACAAGAAGGGTTTCGAGACAGGCTTAGGTCTTTCAGGTCAACAACTTTTAGATCCCATCACTAGACTGACTTCAAAGGATTCAGATGGTGAAAAGCCCCGCACAAAAGAGGCAGAGACTATCAGGCTGAACGACATGCCTGCCCCAGAAGCCTATCGTCACTGACGTAATCATGTTAGGGACGAGGTCAAGTCATGCTCTGACAAACCCGATGAGGCTTGGATTTGGCTCAATGAAGTCTTTGACAACAAGACCCCAAGGGACAAGTTGGAAGAAAAGCTACAAGACCCAGGCAAGTTCATCACACTTGACACCAAATTGTCGGCAGCGTTAACTCGCTCTGCCAAGGGTGATCTAGCAACAAAGATCCACAACTTCAAAGATGAAAAGTCGAAGAATGGGATCCAGGCCAGAGGTAGGAGAGTCCTTTTGATGTTTGAAGACTACTTCAGGACGTCTGAGGAAGCCGGTAGCCTCTATCGTGTCGAGGACTTGTTAGGAGTCGTTCGCACTGAGGAGTCTGTGGAGGACCTTAGAAGGTTTTTGAACCGATGGGATGCCACAATTGCCGGTATGGAAACCCCACCAGATGACTTGGTTCTTAGAGATATTTTGCTTCGACAAATCCGTAAATGTCAGTTGATGAAGTATGACATTGAAGCATTTGACAGAGATCCCGAAAAGTCAGAGCAGAAGTCCTATGCATTCTTACTCAGAAACATTCGAGATCTTTTAGACAGAGAAAGGCTCCGATCAAACAGGAACCGGATTGTTGAAAAGAACAAGCAGACCGAAAAGCCTCAGCCCGCTGCACCCGCTCAGGGGGGAAAGGAAAAGGTGATCGAGGACGATCCCGCGTTCGAAGCCAGAGTACAAAAGGGGACAAGATATGTCACAAGTTTCGGGATGGTAAATGTGAGAAAGGAAAGGACTGTCCCTACAAACATGTCAAGGATGCCTCAAGATCCGGAACCCCGAAAAAGAAGGGTAAGGGCAAGGGCAGTGGTACAAGTGCTTCCCCATCAAGAAAATCAAGGGAAGAGATGGCTAAGATCCCTTGCACATACTTCCAACAGGGCAAATCTCGTCGTGGTGACAAATGTTTTTACAAACATGAAAATGCAGCTGCACCCACAAAGGATCCTAAACGAACAAACAGCCTTGCACCGAAGAAGGCCAGCGCAAAAGCTGCGCCATGCATCGCCCAAAGGTATGCCGGTATGCCTGTATTGCAAAGGGAAAAGGGTTGCCAAAGGCTACAAAAGCCATGAGAGACCAATGCCATAGAGCTGTTGTATTTTCATCAAAAGTGGAATACTTCAAAGTCCCAGCAACTGGTGAGCAGAGAAAGGTGACCCCGAATCTATGAAAAGAGCTACCCAGATTCAGAGTCTGTACCAAAGCCTGACAAGCTGATCGCTCAACGTGCCCAGGTTTTGGCCAGGCAGTTGCAGGAGCTTGTGAAGCTCTTTGGCAGTGAGTCGCAGCCGAAATGCCGCTTCCGTTGCAATGATGAGGAAGGTGGAACATCATGTAACCACTGCAGAGCTTTGATCGGTCCGAAGAATAAGATCAGTAGCACTCAGTTGCCAACTGTCGCAACCCCCGCCTCAAAGGATGGATGTGTATGGTTAGTGGATACGGGCAGTGAGCAAGATCTTATCAGTGAGGGGATGCTGAAAACTGCAAAGGCGACAAATCGTCGCATCAGCAACACCCCAATCAGCTTAGCCACAGCAAGCGGTTCAACTCGTGCGGATGAGGTGGCCGACGTAAAAGTCGATGCCCTACACCAGCCGTTTTCCCCGTACATCCTAGAGGAGACTCCTGAGATTCTTTCAGTGGGAGTCCGATGCATGGAACAGGGGTATAGCTTCGTTTGGCCGGCTGATGGTAGGCCATCATTCGTCCGGACATAGGAGTCATAGAGCTGAACGTGGACGGCCGGGTGCCAGTCATCGATAGCTCGTGCCGAGTCCTGAACAGCAAACAGTTCAAGAAGGACTGTGACTTGCTTCGGCTTTTTGCAATGGTTTCCGCTAGAGCGGCAGAGGCCGAGGATGACGGAGTAGACGAGGGAGTAGCCCAAGACAGTGAAACCGAGTACATTCGATCTAGAAAGGCCTCAGACCTTGAACTTGAAGAAAGCAGCAAAGCTCACCAATTTTGCCATTACCCCAAAAATTCTTTCTGCAAAGTCTGCCAGAAGGCGCGCATGATGGCGCCGCCCGCAAAGAAGAAGGGAGGGCAGAAGAGATTGGAAACCAACAGTTTTGGAGATCACATTGTCGCTGACCACACGGTTGTTAAAGCTAATGTGGAAGAAGGCGTCAAAGGTGAAACGGTAGCATTGGTGATTAAGGACATCCACACTCAGTTCAGACATGTCTATCCTAGTCAAACCAAATCAAGTGAGTGATGCGTGAATGCTTTCAACCATTTCCTGTCACACAAGGATGAAGTTGGGGCAGTTTTCTCTGACAATTCAAGAGAACTCACTGCTACCATCGAGAAATTGGGTTATCGACATCAAACATCAACAGAGTATGTGGACAGTTCGAAGTAATTTGTTGAAAGAGATCCGACATATGCTTGAGGGCACTCGCACGAATCTCGTGCAGTCCGGTCTCCCGTTGCAGTACTGGCCGATGGCTATGCAACATTTTTCAATGGCAGTGAACGCTACGCCACAGCTCAATGGTGATGATGCCCCGTGGAAGCTTCGTTTTGATGAGGATTTCCCAGGTCAGTTGATTCCTTTCGGTGCAAAAATGTTGTTTTGGAACAATCCAAAAAGGGTTGACAACACATCTGGGAAAACATCACCAACTGCAAATGATGGAATATTTTTGGGATCCCACGTACAACCTGGTTTTGCATGGAAGGGTGAGTATCTTGTTTTCAAGTTGGAAGTACACCCCAACGGGAAAACCTATTCCGGCGGCACACACCTTGTGAAGACGTACAAAGGGTCAAAGCGCCCAGAATCAATCCCATCAGATCTCTGGAAAATGCTTAAGGCTTAATCCAAAGGACAGGCAACAGCTCATTGATGAGGAAGCCGAGAAAAAGACGTACAAAGGGTCAAAGCGCCCAGAATCAATCCCATCAGATCTCTGGAAAATGCTTAAGGCTTAATCCAAAGGACAGGCAACAGCTCATTGATGAGGAAGCCGAGAAAATGGCTGTTGGTAGTGGAGGTGCTGCGTCAAGCTCAGCTCCAAAGGGCCCGAAGAAAAAGAAAAGTGCGGTAGCAACTGCAAGAAAGCTTCGGTTAAGCCCTAGCCCCTCAGGTGAGCCAGAAGTAGCCAAATGGGAAGTCATCCCAAAGGACAGACCAAAGTTTTGCGTCCCGGCTATGCCGAAAGCTGCACCAGCAAAAGCTGAGTTGCATCGACCGGAATTAAGGGAAATGATCAAGAGAAAGATCCAAGAGTTGGAATTCAAAGTAGCACTTGAATTGTTTTCTGCTGTTGCACGTTTGGTTCCCAAAGACGAAATCGGAAAGAATCCCAAAGCAAAAGCTGCCTTAGATAAGGAATGGGAAAATCTTAGAACCAAAGGAGTTTGGGATGAACCTAGGGTCCGGGAATGTAAGAGCATTGTTGAGGAAGCCAGGTAAAGAGGGCTGGAAACAGATTCCCCCCGATGTTTGGCAGAGTATCTTTTACCACGCTGAGTACAATTGTATGTTGGTCGTTTATGTGGAGGATTTCAAACTTGCAGGTCCTACTGAGAGCATGGAAAAAGCATGGGCTAGCATCAAAAGAGCAGTCAACATTGGTGACCCTGAACCGTATGACAGGTACTTTGGTTGCCAACATGTGGAGTTCAACAATGTTACACTTCCACGAAAAGCTCATCCTTTTGCAAATGTTTTTGATTCTCAGGCGGCTGCTGCAGCACGGGCTCAACATCGAACAAATGATTGGCAACATGACCCCATCAACAAAACTTGGACAAGGTATCATCTCCAGTCACGTAAGAAGTTCTTCGATCCTGGCGATGAGGGGGGGGAATTTGCCAAGTCTTTGCATTCAGAACGGGTTACAATGTTCGACAAAAATGTTGAATTCAAAGGTCTCCCAGTTCTCAAAATGCATATGTCAGGTGAAAGCTCAGCAATTGTGGAAGATGACATGACCGTAGATCAAAAGATTCAGACAATAGACTTCTGGACTGGCAGAACGATATTGAAGTATGGCGATGAGTCAGGCAACTCTAGTCAGTTTGCCCTTCCCTCGAAAAATAGGCCCGGTCCACATCGAGACAAAAGGGATGCCAAGAATGAGAAGAAAGCTCAACGGTTCAAAAGCATCGAGAATGTTGTCCATGACAAGTCTGGTTGCATGAAAAAGCTAGTAGTTAATCTTGTTAGGTATGACATGTCCTCATTCATGGAATCTTGTGTTGATGCATATTGCGAGCTGGGAAAGGTCCAGAAAAGTGACTTGCCAGTAGTTGCAACTCCCTTCACTGAAGCGGGGATCGCTCGACCTACCCTTGACGAGAATGAGAAGCCAGGGAGGTTACAGCCGATTGCATCTAAGGTTCTCATGAAGATTCAGATTCTCCTTGCTGCCCGTATGGCACGCCCTGATCCCCTTAGAGCTACCCAAAGTTTAGCATCTAGAGTGACAAAAAGTTCGATCGAATGTGACATAGCTTTACATCGGCTCGTTTCATATGTCAAGTCTACAACAGATGTGTTTTTGGAGGGTTTCGTGGGGGACTCGTTCGAGGATTGCCAGTTGTGGCTGTTCGCAGATGCTGACCATGCGGGGGAACATGATTCAAAGTCAACTTCAGGTTGTGCGATGTTTCTAGTTGGTCCAAATACCTATTTCCCTTTGAATGCGTTCAGCAAAAAGCAGACAGTTGTAGCGAACGCGCCCACGGAGGCAGAAGTCGTGTCAGCCAATCATGCACTCAGGGCGGAAGGGATACCCATGTTAGCTTTGTTGGAGCAGGTGGGCATTTTCAAGAAACTGTCGCAGAAGGCTGGGACAAACCCCAAGCCAAACACCCCGGAACAAGATGACTCTGTCTTTATTCGGATCGACAAAGATATTGACGAGTTCAGGTATGGCAATGTTGAGGGGGGCCTTTCTGCGGCAAACATCATTGGATTGAAAGCCAATTTTCCGGAATTTTATCAAGTGAAGTTCATGGAAGAGAATCAAGCAAGCTTCAATCACTGTTATGAGCACCGGAAATTCTTCAACTATGAGGTACGCCAACAAGACCCAAAATATCTGTTTCAAATGGATGAAGCAACAGTTTGAGGAAGAACACTTCGACCTTATGAATGTTGGGACTGACTGGCAAACCGCCGACATCCTGACCAAGCCTTTCACTTCACCGAAGAAGTGGGAAGACTTGGATTCAAGCCGACGACAAGACGAAGGTGCGCCAAGTAGATCCCAAGTCTGCGTGTCCAGCAAATGCCAACGATCAGGAAGGCAACAATAGCTCAAATTCTTTCCAAAGGATGTTGATTGTTTTGCTGTTCAAGTGATTCGAAGCTATGTACACCACGGGAAGCCAGCAAGGGGTGTAGACTCATTCGGGTAACCGAGAAGGAAGATGGTAGCACCCCAGGCTGCCGCAAATGGCTAGCCCAAGAAGTCCAGTCATTCAGGGAGAATAACCCAGAGGGTTAAGTTTTGCTTTTTGCTTCTTTGCCATGCGTTGGTGGTAGGCCATGGGGTTACATCAACAGATTGACAGACTCAGGGGCTGAAAGAATCGAACAGCAACAAAAAGAGTTTACAAAGCTTTTCAAATCACTTCAAAAAGTTATCCACGAAATTGACGGACCACACTTTTCAATTGCATTCGAACTCTCAAAGAACTGCAAGTAGTGGAAGCGGCCGATGGTTCAATCTTTCCTGAAAAAGCAAGATCTAAAGTTGTATCCATTCCACGGTTGCCAGTTTGGGGTTACTGACTTGGAGGGGAACCCAATGAAAAAGGGTTGGATGATAGCAACAAACATGGAAGAGCTGTCAAGTCTATCGGAGTATGTTTGTGATGGTTCTCACACTCATGGTCAAAGTTGGGATACTGCATTAAAACTTGCAGAGAATTACACATTCACCTTGACTGGCTTCATCCACCGTTGTTTTCGTTCCAGAGCTACAGGAACCAGGCACAAACCGCCAAAGACAGGAAAAGGTTAGCCTTGCCCGCCATGAGCCGACGTTCCGGTGATGCTCCAATGGCAATTGCCGAAAAGATGAACGTTCGGGCTCCCAAGTCGGCCGGTTTAGAGACCGTGCCCCAGCAAAGCAACATGTCGGAATGGCTTGCTTTTCGGAAGTGCCTTGATTTTCAGGGGGATAGGCACGCAGGATGGGAGGACATCTTTTCTACAGTCCTTGCTTCGTCGACGATCCTCGCGTCAGGCAACAGGATCGAGGACTTAGAGCTCTCCGCTGGATTGATGCAGCGTTTTGCTGCCCAGTCGATGTCAACTGACTCCCTCACTGGTGTGCATGCCGTGGGCTAAGGAGCTTCGTCATTTGTCTGAGCTTGAGCAAGAATCGCTCTGGGACTTGAAGCTGCCCACGGAGTACGTCCCTGGAACGTCAAGGCTGGCGCTAGACGTCGTGCCCACAATTTATGTGGTGACTTCAGATTCGACGCCGGCGCTGATCACTGGAAAGGGTAAGACTTTGAAGAGGTACACCCTGAAGGAGGACCTTGCCTTGCGAAAAGCTGACATGATTCTTGAAATAGGTCATGATATGCTCTGGGGCAAGGATTTGCAACAACTCTGTAAAGCTAATATCGTGATGACCAAGGATTTGATGTCGAAGTTTTCCACTCACGGGTCGGCTATTCGCATCATTTCTGTGATCTTTTGGTCTGGTAACGAGGTTTGCGGGGAATATGGAGTTGAACCCCTTCCAATTTGGGGGCAACGGGACCCACAGGGCGATTGGAATGCCATCATGGACAGGGTCAAGGGCAACATTGTGTGGTGGAACAATCAACTGAAGGAATTGGGGGTTGAGTTCAAATGAATGACCATCTACCACACAGTGCTCAACCACCTCCGAGTTGATGTTCTCATCGAGCATGATTCTGTATTTTTCTACATGGCCTCTGGCATGTTTTGGACAGACCGTGCCGCTGAGCTCATTCTCTCGGGTGGGCTCGCCAGTTGAGGCGGCCGTCGGTGATTCCGGCTCTGCAGGTGGAGCCTTGGCAGATGAGTCTGGAGGAGCAGCATGGCTGGCTTTGGCCTTTCCCACTGACGGACCTTCGTATTCATTGACGTCCAGTGCATCCCAAGGGTCACCTTCGTCGTCATCATCAGGCACCCCGGCATCAGTGGGTCGGTCGCGCAGCTCTTCTGCAGTCAAGGCTTCTGGCAAGGACTTGTTGGTCTTCTCCCGCAGCGAGCACACACAAACTTGACCGGAAGGTGCTCCATTTTCGGTGCGGCATCACGCATTGTGGCTTCTCCCTGTGGCCGTCGTCTCTTGAACAATGACTGCTGATACTGAGGTGAAATGATGTCAGTTATATGCAGCATGTGAAGAGTATCCATGACATAGCCAATCATCCCGTTCCTGTTGAGCTCTGTCTCGAAGGCGTGAAAATAGTCCCTGAGCTCAAGCCTTGGTGGCAACTTGTCACTCTGGATCCACCTGATGCGTTCGTTGTCCTCCGCAATCTCAGCATGGAACCAGGCTTCAGGCGATCCATAAATGTGGTAAACACCATTCCCAAACCATAGGTAAGAGGGCCGGGCTCGCTGATTAGAGCGGCCTGATACTCATCACCAGGACATGCTGGGAGATGGACGGCGCGGCCAACTTGAGGTATCCCGATCGCATGGACCGTCACAAGACGAAGGTCAACGCTGTGACCCGTGGCCAACCAGGTCAAGATGCTACAGCCTTCAACGACCAAATGTGGCTTGACCTAGACGGTTTCTTTCGAATGTTCGACAAGATGCTTCCCAAAAAGGTGAACCCCATGTCAGTTGAGGAGTTGGTTGCACTCCTCTATCATGACAGCAAATGCAGCTTTGAATTCCAATGCATCGGCGGTCACCAGAAGGCAACCCGTCAAGGGTTAGCCTACTGGCCTTTCAGAATCCGTGGAGTGCAGGGGCATACCAAACGTGCAATGGACACAGCAGCAGCATCTGATGCCTTCAACGCTGTGGAGATCTATGCAAGTTCTGGGGCAGCGGCAATTCAGAGAATGAATGCAACGGGCAAGCAGATCACGACTGCTGACAAGTGTCCTGGGGTGATCTATCATCGCACCACGAAAGGAAATTGGAAAGGAATCCTTCGTGACGGCTTTGTTGCCGGTGGTGGAGAGCGCGTCTCGTCAGGTAGAGCGCACTCTTACTTCAGCGAGGTGCAGGTCAGTGACAAGCAGTACGTCAGTGGGCTCAGGGCTGAGCGACCCATCGAGATCCGTGTGGCCATGTCTGAAGCTGTGCGCAGCGGGGTCATTTTCTTCAAGACATCGTCTGATGGAATTCTGACAAGTGATGTGGTTCCTTCCCAGTTCATCATCTCGGTTGACGATACTGAAAAGAAGACCAACCTTTATCGGCGACATGAGGACACGGCGCATTCTGCTCATGGCAGCGGGGAGAAGTTGGGGCTCAGGAACTTGTGAAGTCCTACGAGGCAAAATCTTCTCAGAGAACTGGATCCACATCTCCGGCCGCCTCAACTGGCGCGCCCGCTGCAACATCGCTTTTCCCAGGAAAAGTGAAGCCTCCGCCACCCAATGTGGCTCAAGCATCGGGTATGCCAGGCTATGCACACAGCAGGTCGTTGCCGCCTCCTCCAAAAGGTGAAGCTCCAAAACCACCATCAGTTGTTATTGAGGGTCCCAAAACTCCGCCAAAGATTGAAGGTCCAAAGACACCACCAAAGGCTGACGCTCCAAAGACACCGCCAAAAGAGGGAGCTTCTGCACCATCTGCACCTGAAGTTCCGAAGGCTGTGACAGCAGCAGTTGAACCAGCAAAAGAAGATGAACCTGCAAAGAAGAAGGCAGCTCTTTCCAGCTCGCCCGCAGCTGTGCCAGTGGCATCATCGGCTGCGGCCTTCTTGGAACCTGTTCCGAAGATTGCGCCCCCAAAGGCTCATCCGAAAGAACAAGAAGCTTCCACTGCAGTGCCTCCATCATCAAAGCTGGCTTCAAGCTCAAAGTCGCTGGTGCCGAAAAAGAAGTCTCGCCCTAAAGGCGATGACTAACCTTCAGAGGAGAAGAAGCCAGTGTCGATCAAGATTGAGGCCAAGCAATGCGAACGTTGTTTTTCAGAAAGTTTCAAAGGACAGTTTGAGTGTGACGTTTGTGAATTGATGCTTGAAGGAGCTGGCAAGGCCGACAGGACCAAGATCGCCGACCGGCGTAAAGCCGCGCTCCACAAGTTAGGCCTCTATTACGACTACAGAGGCGGGTATTTGCAGAGCATCACACAGCACCAGCTGGAATCATTCGGACTCCTCGGAGATCAAGCACGTGGAAGTTCGAGCTGGGGGGCAGATTTGCTCAAGCGTGCGAAAAGCAGGTACGACAGAGCTCTGAGCCTTGGATTCATTTCTGTTGCTGAACGTTTCACTCAGGACGCAACTTTTGCTGAAAGTGTCCTCAATGAAGGTGAAAATGAATATGACTGCCAGCGCTATGACGTGCTGCGGGCAGCACATCTTCCAAAACCGGACAGGACCAAGGCACAGGTCAGATTGGGAGTGTCAGAGCAGTCTCAGTTGGAGCACAATGCAATGAGACTTGTCTTTCTGGATTTTCCCAGCCGTCTCGACATGCCCAGTTCTTTCAAGTACATCGACCAACCATGGATCTACATGTAACAGAACCGAGGTCTATTCCGAGGAAGAGTATATCGAGTATTTGGGAAGGAACCCTCAACACAATTTGCTGCTTTCATGCACAGGTGTCGACCATGTGGCAGTCCATGATGCTGAAAGACACCTGAAATGGATCAAGGCCCAAAATGAAGACTCCTACAAGAAGAACGTCGAGGAGAAGCGCAAGCAGTCTGAAAGAGCCAAGGAGCAAAACCATGCCAAAAGAAAGGCTGAACAGACCGGCGCTTTTGGACAAGGGCCAACAAAGAAAGGCACCGCTAGCCCGGTTGCCCGAACATCTCCCAAGGTTGAAGCAGCATCATCATCGGCTTCGGCGAGCGTGTGGCTCGACAACCCGCAAAGCTCCCAGCCCAGAGGTACTCACCAAGATCGACAGTACACTGGAGAATGGCAGAAATGGCATGGGCGCTGGTACCAAAAGGTCATCAGACACGGCCGCATTGAATGGGAGCAGGGATAGAGTTGAGTGGCACCTTGCGCAGACGATTGGTTTATGTATATATAGCCTAGCCGCATTACTTTTGAGTGTCTTCTCAGGTTTGCAAAGGGTTGGAGCGGTAAGGCAGACCGAAATGGTCTCGCCCTGGTAAGTGGGCAGCTTTGCCGTATCCGGCTCACCTGAGGGGGGTGTAATTGCATCCCATATAAAACACACTGTAATATAGCACGGTGACTAAAGCTGTTGCGGCTCGAGTGAAAAAGCACTTCGTTGCTTGCTTAACGGTTTTACCCCATCTTTTAGTTTTATCAGTCTACTGGGGTGTTATATTATAGGCAAAACACCAGCTGAAACCTGAAAATACAGTATGATCGATGAAGTATGGTGTAAGGGTCTGAAGTATGGTGTATCCGTAGTTTGCTGCTGTTTTATTGAGCATGTATATAGTTGATTGCACATTTAGATACATTTAGCATAGAATTAAACAAACAATCACACGGAACATCAAATTCGCCCACTGAATTCATTAGAAAAGGAGACTTACGGTTGTGAAACGTGGCAAAGTCATCCCTGACTGTTTGTATTAGTCGATCTCAGCAGATTGGAATGCAAAGGCATTCTGAAGGCATTTGGACATGTGTTCTTTGACGGCTTGGCAAGACAGGAAGCAAAGACTTTGGCAAAAAACCTGGCTCGGTAGGTAGGGACGACCATCTGTGGCCGCAACCCACTGAAAAATGTCATGGAGTATCATATAATCATATAGTGCTCTTCGGTTTTTACTCTGAAATTCAACAAGGTTTTTTTTATTCCATGATTTTTGTAAGAGATAGGCGCACCATTTCAGAACCCATTTTCAGTAGCAGGGATTACTGCAGAGATTTTGGGTTCTTAGACACCCCTTCAGGATTTAGAAACCCAGATTTGGGGTCTACAATGGCCAACAAGGTGGTATGAGACAACCTGAGGGTATATTTATTATGTTGTATCCAAGCGCTTCCTGGAAGTGGGGCAGACTTCACCGAGGCTTCGAGCTGCATTCTGTTGGGGCCCTCATAGAGGTTTCTCAGATCATATTTTGACACAGGGGTTTGGGAGGGCGTCTGAAACCTACACTGGATTTTGAAGACAATTGGTGCTGGTAAAGTATGCTAGCACATTCATTTCAATCATTCTGCTTTGAACACTCATTGACAGCCAGCTGTGGGTCGGCTTTCCTCCACTTTCCTGTTTGTACCAGACGGCTGATGCAAACTGTTGTAAACTGTTGCAATGTTCAGGCCTCAGTGGAGCGACCACAGTGGCACTGAGAAGGCATGCCCAGCAGCTTGCACAATGATTCATGATGCGCAGACATCAACAGTGTTTGGAAGAGCAACCGACTACAGCGGGTCTTCTGAGCCTGATCAGCAAATTCTTTCCTGGCCAAAGCCTTTGCAGAGAATATGGCGAAGATAAGATATCAGCCGAGATGCACATCGTAGGCTATGTGGCGTTTAACTTTTGGCAGGACATGTAAGATGCGAGATTTGTTGCATAATATCGATTATGATTTGCAAGGCGTGTGTATGGCAATTGTGTGATGATAGTTGCCTGCCATGAAGGGGCGGATTCTTGCCCGTGGAGGCATTTTCTCCCGACTGCCACGCCAGAGTTGCATCAAGTTACTGGCTTTCGCCCGAGCACTGCTTGCAGCAGTGGGAAGTCCACGGATGCGGATGCTTGTCAAATAAACGAGACGTTTTTTTGGTCATGTCCTGGCGTTTGGAAGTTGAGGAAGTGGAAACAAAAGAACTTCAGAAATTCATGCAGACTCTCTAGTCCCTCCTGAAGTTCATCCAGGCAGCTCAGCGTCTTAGGAGGATCAAGAAAAAGCAAAGCAAGTAAGAGCAGAGACTTCGGTGACTACGATAACCGCTACCGCCGCTTGGCATTTTTGAAGAACCAGAGCTTCAACCAGAACAACTGAGCCTGAACCGTTTTGAGTTTGCATGGTCCACAAAGGCAGAAGGTGCTGAAATACGAGAGAGAGAGAGAGAGAGAGTGGAACCCAACAGGAATAAGAAGAAATGCGCTCAATTGGGTACATCTGAAGCACCTGATTGCTGTAGGCCTAGAGTCCTCTTAGAGGAAGACATTCGGATTAGCCATGCCCATCGCTACCTATGGCCCTGCGGGAGTGTTGGTGGAAAATCATTTGGTTCCTGAATGTGTCTGGGCCAACACTCCAGATATGCACATTGTCCCAACACTCCAGGTTAGAACATTGCCCCGATCCCTTGGTGCAACCATCCAAGAAGCATTCTCAGGCAGAAGATCTCCAGAAAGTGCCTGAGGTGATCATTGATGAGGGCACCTTCAAATATGTTTCTCTCAATGCAAACCAGGGCAACAATGTGAAACATGTAAGATATGCGCGTTGGAGCATTGGGGGGACAAGACCAAGTAAGTGGTCCAAGTGAAGGTTGGGGACAGTGCACGATGACATCCTTCAACGGGACCCTCAGTTCAGATGACCTGTGCAGTGCTTCCTTCAGGTCCTGATGCGCGTGACGGCTGCTAGCGGGGAGCAGAAGTACTTGGTCCGTGGTACTGCTGGAGCAGCGCCATAGTTGCGACAGTTGTGGAAAGCAGAGCTGACATGGGCTGAACAGATTGCAAGAATCTGTTTTGAAAATTTGATGAATCCCCACGTTTGTCCTGAACTTAGGAATATCATCGCGATGTTGCAATCCCATATGTGCGAGCTTACTTGAAGAATGGCTTTGGAATAGAAGTGTTGGGTGGCGGGAGGATCTTGCATGATGTTGAAAGGCTTGGGGTGCAGGAGAAAAGTATGACAATGAGTTTTACATCTTTGCGTGAAAATTTGGTTGCCCGCTTCACTCCTTGGTCTGGTTGTCTTGGCTTTGCTTGAAGTGCCAGGGGTTATTTGCAAATCTATGGCTTCTCGTATGGCTTCCCGTGGGTGGATGGTGCAGGACATGAAATCTCTGCCGAGGTTCCCAACCTCGTCGCCGTTGTCATGCCGTTGCGTTGTATGAACCACTTTGGTTGCCAACCTCCCTCCGAAGCCATTGTGCCTCGCGACTCTTGCATTTCTGTGGCTTGTTTTGTCAGGTTTGTTCCCGGCACTTCTCTGATTACGAGGCTGGAAGTCAAAATCATGAGTCAAATGTTTTTCATGCAAAGTTGAATGCGTGTCTTTCTCGAAATCCAACATGCTTTGAAAATTGGCCAGTGTACATTATTGTCCTGATCTTGTTTTCTTGAGGTGACTTGGACAAATGAAGGGTATTGAGCGACTCCTGGTGTGATGCCCTGCAGCTTGCGCCTGTCACATCTCGGCGTTACAGAGTGTCAGTGGAAAAAAAGAGGTCAGGGCATGTCAGGGCAGTGAATTGCTTCAGCGCTACTCCGCACCTGTGCCCCCCTGGTTTACATTGCTTCAAGTTGTGCTTGTTTGAGTCGGACTCGGAGTCAGCAATGGTTTTCCGAGGTTGGTGCCAGGAAGCTGTTTTGACATTAAAGCGACTCAGCCAGTTAGATCAATTACATCTTCAAGTACGTACAGGGTCAGGGTGGTAACTTGTGCCGCAGTTGTCTTCTTGTGCCGCAAACGGTGTGCCGTTGGGAAGTCCATGATATACATGTCATTCTTACTGGATGAATCAATTGTTTGTGGCATTGATTTTTCTAACGCTTTGCAGGGGCACACATGTTTTTGAGACATATTCGTTTTGAGATAGAAACTCATGAGGATGGCTTCTCAATAGCTTGACTCACACAGAAGAGAGAACAGTAGAAGAGACGAGTAGAGTAGAAGAGACTATATACAGAAGAGTAGAGAAGAGAACCGAATTGAAGAGTAGAAGTGATTAGAGAGGCGTAGAGCAGAGAAGGGAAGAGTAGAAAGGATCCCTGCCGCCTTGCCCTGCTGCTTTGCCTTGCAAAATCCCGATCTCGTACAGATCTCGTAAAGACCTCGTAAGGATCTCGTAAAAATCACGCTGTCAAGCGGTACCTTGAATATCTCAGTGCCATTGTGCTGTGTTGTTCAGTGCTGGAATGTTCCTGGTGTGCCACTGGGAAAAGCTTTTTGTGAGTATATTTTTCCCAGGGTAGGAATGAGAGTCCGCCAATAAGAATGACATGTAGAACTCCTGGTCTTCTAGAGTCGAGCTGATGGTGTGCCATGCGGTTTACAACGCTTTGTGTCAGGTTTAAGATAGATAAAAACCGGTACAAAGAGCTGCAGTCCGCATAGGAATTTCAAGAAAACAATGTGCACATGTATGGATAGGTGTCGGTGTGCCGTGGTGATTTGGCTATGGCACAAGTTCTTTAGGTTGTGGGGTAAGCTGTGTGCCATGCGGTGGGGTAAGATTATAAGTTGTGGCGCAAGTTACCACCCGTACTCGTAGCTGCTTGCCAAGCACTTGAAAGCAAGCAGCCTTGGTGTTTCGTCTGTATTGGTCGATCTTTGCAGTCAGTCTTTGTGGCAAATGTGCACAAGAAAGCACAAGAACCCGTGTGGCAATGGTCCGAGCCAAGAGTGGCTGTGTCAAGTGGCTTGAAAAGCCAAATTTGATCAAGGCCAACAAGAGAAATCCACACCGGCGGCGCGCTGCCGCCTGCAAAAAAGGAACTGTTACTAAGCGGACCCATGAGATCATCGGGGTTCTGAGCGCCCGTCCCATGAAACCATATTGATTGATATTGATTGCTTGTGTTTTCGCATGGGCCAGCTAGTTGCAGCACAACCAGCTTGACATGCCCATCCACATGTTTGATTTCGGCACAGCAGGAGGATGTGAAAGCATTAGAGCAGGCAATATATTGTATGTTTATATATGCACATGAATGCTCACACATACACCAGCACACACGCACATGTATATATATATATATATTCTATTTGACATGTATACATAAACAATGCATGCATGCATGCATACATAAATAATCATAAATACATTATAAAACATAAAAACAACAATAGATGAATAGATAAATAATAATTAAAACATATAAATGAATGAATAAATACGTAAGTAAAAGAATAAATAAATAACTAAATCCATACATAAATAAGTAAATAAATACACGCACACACACACACACATATATATATACGCTGTATGTTAGACGTATTATACACATATGTGAATCATGTGTGTGTGTATGTATATATGTATGTATGCAAACAGATGTTTGGATGCATGCATGTTTATCCGTTCATTAACCTTTTCTTGCATGCACAGACAGAGAGCTGTTCTTATGAAATAGAATCAGAAGGACCTGGGCACATTCAGTCGGCACAACTTGCCCATTTGAGGATGCATCAAAACATCATGACATGGGAACTCGATGCCAGAGCCTGTTCATGACATTGCGCAGGTGCACTTTGTTTGGCTTCGATCCTATCTTTCCGACAATTTATCACCATATTCCCATATTCTTCTGGACATGCCAGGAAGTCCGGGATGTTGCAGTCACAGCATCTACTCTGACCAAGGTATCGTGACTGCAAGTTGCTGCAAGTCTTGTGCAGGACCATGTCTTTCTTTCCCCATTGTTTTTTGACGTCGTTTGCCCAGGATGCCGAGAAAGAGTTTGGCTGGAGCCTTTCGAAGGGGTCACAAGGCGTGAAGTGTGGTCAATTGCAAGACATTCCTGCAAGGTCGCTTGCTGGCAAAGCTTCCACAAAATGAGAGGCTGCGTTTGGATAATGAAAGCCACTGCACCAGAATCATCCACAAGCTACTGGTACCGAGATTTGGTTTTGGCAACATTTCAGGGCGCTTGCAGCTACCGACGGCTTGATTGGTCTTTTGGTGAGATGCTTATATATGGCCACGTGAGTGGATGGGTCAAGTGTGCATAGGAAGAACATCGAGTAAGATGAAGCTAGGCCTTTCAATTGATGCATTGTGATCACCTGCTTCCAATATCTTGATTGCTGACCCTGCTGAAATGGTTCTTTTAGATGAGGCTGAACCGCTGTCCTACGACTTCACCAGATTGCTTCTCAATTCAGTTCGAGCAGCAGTCTAAGCGCTATCCATTGTATTCCATTGCGCCTTTGTAGTTTTGCAGGGCAAAGCGCAGAGGGCAGCTGCTTGCTACGCGTATGTTCAGTCATTTCATGTGGAACTTCCAGAGCCTTATTACTGGCTAAGCCAACGCTCAGAAGCTTGTAGTTATATAGTTGAGTGGCCAGCATTCTACTCCAGGTTTTTCTTTGATGCTGTTTGTTCGCCACAGGTGGCCAAGGGAGTTCCATTACTTTCGTACTTGTAACATCTTGTAACAATTTGATAAACACAAAAAAAGTTATAGGGAGCGCGCGCTTGCATCCACTGAATCCCGGGGAAACTGAAAACAAATCTTTTCTGATCACTGACCCTCATGGAGTTATCAGCGTCCGCATAGCATCCGCATAGCATCCGCATCTTCCTCTTCCTCCGTCTCATCATCGTGGTCATCATGGTCATCGTGGTCATCATGGCCATAAGGGGAATCCTACTCCGCACATCTCCGCACCGTTCCGCACCCATCATTATTCATCATCATTCAACATCATTGACAACCATCAACGTCCTGGACACGAACACCTCCATGTCACGCCCAGCGAGAGGAACATGAACAGCAGCGCGGAACGAAATGTGAAAATTGTGTGAAAGGTGTCCAACACATGCTCCCGTATGAGAGAATTCTTGTCCTGAGCCGTCCTGTAATCAACATCCATGACTCGTAACAGAATAATTTTTACCATTTGATGCCGTTTGATGCGTAGGCTGCCACTATGCAGACCTGAGGTTCTGGAGGCGTTGGCGGTTCGTTTCAGTCTTACACTGCGTAGGCTTGGCGCAGACACCTTTCCACAACAGTTGGAACCTGTTTAAGAAGGATCATGAAGGATCCCATTGCGCTGCCAAAATCTACGAATCTACAGGTGCCTTGGATACAGGCAAGACCTAAGAGATCTAAGAACTCCATAGTGCAAACTGGGAACTCCATGCGGGCTCCGCGTCGGCTCTCGAGTAGGCTCTCGGACAGGCTCTCCCGTGGGCTCTAGATATGTACAGTAAGATTTGCAGACCTCTGCCCAAACTGTCCCAAACTCAATTGAATGCGCAATTTTTCCTGGGATATTTTTTCTGCTGGCAGGGAACATGTCCATAGGAATCTGACACTCCCAAACCAGGAGAAATCACCGAACTTGTCGGCAAACACAAACCCACTGAGATTGAACTTCTATGAACTTCTCATGTCCGAAGCTGCAGCTTGTCTAGTACCAAGGCAGCTAGGAGGAAGAGATGCCAAGTGATGCCAAGTGTTAAGATGCGAATCCTCTTCCTGTTCCGGATCGTCGACTCCCTCTTCTTCATCCATTAGTACCAGCGAGTACTGTAGCTTCCGGCATCAGTAGCTTCCGGCATCCTGGTTTCACCATAGGGTCGTGTTGACGCCCCTTCTATAATGAGATATATGAGATATAATGAGCTTACCCCGCGTAGGCTACCTCATGCACTGGCGCAGGCTCTGTGTAGACGGGTGGAGTATGGAGACAAGGATAAAAGAAGATAATAGAAGTACACCACACATTTGTCATCAACAATAATCTTCACCCACACCATCCTTTCAAAACTTCCTGTCCTTGCAATCACTGTCGCTGCGGCTGTCATCATTGTCATTGTTGTCATCTCATCCTGATCATTATTTTGACCCTCATAAGCATTTTGATCTCGGTGACTTTGTTTCCTACATGCATTTGTGCTGGCGTTGGTCTTGGTGATCTTTACAGTATCCCCCTCTCTCAAGTGTTCCATCCCTCACACTTGATTTCATAGGTCCATCCCGCGTCAGATGCGAGGAGGATGTCCTCCATGCCTATTCTATCCATTTCTATCCTGCTCTCCGAGTTACTCTCCTTGCCAGTGGGAACTTTTGAGATTTTTGAGCGTCAGTGGGATGCGTTGAGGCCCAAGCCGTGGATGATGTCTTGGAGCTCGGAGGTGCTCTTAAGCGGGGTAAGCTTGCAATGACATGCAATGAGTTTTGAGATTGGTTAAGTTTTGACAGGACTTCAAAAGCAACTTCCAGACAATCTGAGAAGGCAAGGTTGCACATTGGCACTATGTTACGTGCACATATGAGCACTTTGTTGCACTATTGATGTCTTTTGTTCAACTTTGTTCAGAGCTGCCTTGCACACTACGCCAAGTCTTCCAGCATTTTGCTCCGTGGCAAATGCGCCAAGTCCTCAATGGGAGCTTGAAAGCTGATGGAATGAAATGCGGCCTTTGAAACAGAGTTGTTTTAGCCGCTTTGCTTTCATTTTCCTATATTATATAATATGTTCCTTATGTTTCTGATATACGCTGAACGTTTCTTGACAGCAAGGCGTACAGTCTATGAGCCTGCGGTGGACAAGAGGGTGCGGGAGACTTCCCAAGAATGTCCTACCATGGTTCCCATGCGCAGCAGCTCCTCCTCTCCAGGTGGAGTTCCTCCTAGAGTTGGATGCAGATGTCAATTGCGAAGGCCGGCCACTATCATCAGCATTTGAGAATTCTAATCATCCTTACATCCTTACATCCGTACATACATTACATATTCATTACATTGCATTGCGTTGCATTACATTACATTACATTACATACTACACACATACATACATAATCATCCGCATAATCATACAATATCATACATACATATTTATTGTAGAGCTTCGCACACCGGCGATGCCATACGGGCTATTTTAGGTAGTGCGAGCGTTGGTGTTGTTCATGTGCTCTGCGCGTGCGCGCAGCTGCAGAGCACAGTGTCATGTTCTTGTCACACCGCAGCTTGTAACCATCTTCCCACACATCTTTTTGTCGCATTTTTGTGCTTGTTCTTCTTCCTCTTTATTCTTGTTGTTGTTGTTGTTGCTGTTGCTGTTGCTGTTGGTGTTGTTGTTGTTGTTGTTGTTGTTGTTGTTGCAACACAGCTTATTTTCGCATTTTTGTGGGCCCCTAAACATCGTCAAATACTGTAGGTGGTGTTTTCGCATTTTGACACTCTCGGAGCAAACACACCTGTAAATACCGATGTTTTTTGCGTCTCGGAAGCCCAAAATCGCGGTATTTACGATGTTTTTTGCCTCTGGTAGCAAAGCACGGTATTTACACCGCTTTTTGGCCAGTGCCCAGCAAAAGCACTGGTATTTACGCAGTTTACACCATGTTGCCAGATGTAGCTTCTATACGAGAAAAGGACAAAAACACAGTATTTTACGATGTTTTTGCCCCCCGAGCGCAGCAAAAAAACGTCAAACAATTGCTCAAAAACGGTCCAAAATCGACTTCCGAAAGCATTTTATACCTTTAGCATCTTTTTTCGGGGCCCCGGGCCCCCAAAAACGTGAAAACACCAGCCGAGTGAATGATTTTTTGGGGGTCGGCGGCAGGGGCGCGACCCGGGTAGCTAAAGCTAACGCGCATTGGTACACAAACACGGCGCATCGCCGGATTTTGAGCTGACGCTCATCGTCGCTCCTCGGCCCTCCATTTCATCGCAGTGTGGGCTTGAAAGCTATTGAATGAGGACCTGCTTCAGAAATATATTCCTTATGTTTTTTCCCTATAAGCACTGTTAGGGGTTCTGAATGCTTTCTTAAGGTGTCCGCCTTGGTGTTGGATGGTGTGTCCGTTTTCCTGATGGTCTTGTCTCCCCCTGTTTCCCCTTGTCTCCCAATGTACCCCTTCTTGTTTCCCTTTGATGGATGGTGTGTCCGCCTTCCCAAGGGTCTTCCCCACATGCGTGCCTGTGTTGGATGGTGTGCCCGCCTTCCCGAGGTCTTGTCCCCTTGTCTCCCCACATGCGTGCCTGTGTTGGATAGTGCGTCCGGTCTTGTCTCCCATTGTCTCCCCACATGTGTGCCTTTGTTGGATGGTGTGTCTGCCTTCTCAAGGTTTGTCTCCCCTTGTCTCCACCCGTCTCCCTTCGGATGGTGTGTATGCGCCTTCCCACAACCGTGTCTCCGCTTGTCTCCCATTGTCTCCCCATGTGTGTGTGTGTGTGGGCCTGTGTTAGAAGGGGTGTCTGCTTTCCCGAGGCCTTGTCTCCCCTTCTCTCCCCGCTTGTCTCCCCTTGTCTCCCCCGCCTTCTTGAGGTCTTGTCTCCTATGGTCTACCTACATGTGTGCCTTTGTTGGGTGGTGTGTCCGCCTTCTCAGGGATCACTGCTACCTGCCTTAGCAATATTATTTCAGGGGGGTTTCGTACCAAAATATATAATTTTACCAAAATAATTTTGGATATTTAGCGATTTCCAAGAGGTTCAAGATAGGGCCAAGCTTGCGCCACAATAATTGTTCACTGGAAATTCTTTCAACGAGGTCAGACCCCGGTAAAATATTTTTTTGAAATATTTTTTCGGGATATTCAATCCCTTAAAAAAAACACGGGGATATCAACCAGGTTCTGGAATAAGAAGAGATTTTGTTGAATAATTCTCCTAAGGGGTGGGCCTACGGATGTGCATGTTGGAATATGCGAGTCATAATCTAACCCGTCAATAAAGTTTTGAAATAGTTTAGTATATATAACCTTCAAGTGGTCAGACAAAAAAACACCTATAAGACCTTCTGCCCTTGGGAATTCCCGCAGAATGGTGTTCAATAATTATCTTCATCATTGAATTTTTCCTACATATTTCCAAATTTTTCATACTTTTCCCTATTTCTCCCATATTCCCTTCATCCTGTCAAAAAAAACGGCGGGAATGAGTGGGAAAGGGCAAACATTCGGGTTTTACAGGGTTTTGATTTTTTTTCCCAGCCTCTGGGCGAGTTGGGTCGTTCTGGCAGCTGTTTTTTGAGAAGTGCAGGGCATCTCCAATACCCCTAGATTAATTTCTCCCCTTGAGAAACCCCACAAAATAGTATTCAACCGGGCTCTTTCCTGTAGTGGTTTTCCTAACCTTTCATATTTTCCCTTATTTTGCAATATTTCGCCCATATTCCTTTCATTTGCCTCCAAAGAACTCTCTCGATGGTACGCATTCGGTTTTTATAGGTTTTTGAGTTTTGTTCCCCACCTGCCAGGTGAGGGTTGTTAGATTTTATGTCAGTTGCCTCCTCCTCCTCCTGCCGCCTCCTGCCTCCTGCCTCCTCCTCGTCCTCCTTGTCGTCCTTGTCGTCCTCCTCGTCCAACTGCGACCTGCGATCCACAGTGTTCTCTGTCGGACCTCAACCACGACCATCCACGCCCAGTGTGCTGCCGGACCTCAACCACGACCATCCACGCCCAGTGTTCCCTGCCGGACCTCAACCACGACCATCCGCGCCCAGTGTTTCCTGCCGGACCTCAACCACGACCATCCGCGCCCAGTGTTCCCTGCCGGACCTCAACCACGACCATCCGCGCCCAGTGTTCCCTGCCGGACCTCAACCGCGACCATCCACGCCCAGTGTTCCCTGCCGGACCTCAACCGCGAGTATCCACGCCAAAAGATATGCCACATAGAGTGCCAGAAGATATGCTAGATAGAATGTTAGAAGATATGCCAGATAGAATGCCAGATAGAATGCCAGATAGAATGTCAGCTAGAATGCCAGAAGATATGCCAGATAAAGTGCCAGAATGTTTGCCAGATAGAATGCCAGCAGATTTGCCAGATAATATGCCAGAAGATATGCTAGATAGAATGCCAGATGGAATGCCAGAAGATTTGCCAGAAGATATGCCAGATAGAATGCCAGATGGAATGCCAGAAGATATGCCAGAAGATATGCCAGAAGATATGCCAGAACATCTGCCAGAACATCTGCCAAGGAAGATATGCCAGAACATCTGCCAGAAGATATGCCAGGTAGAATGCCAGAAGATATGCCAGATAGAATGCCAGATCGAATGCCAGAAAATATGTCAGATAGAATGCCAGAAGATTTGCCAGTAACAAAATGTATAAATGTCATGGTGGGGATCACACGAAGTAAAGTAATTTTTTTCCAGCCTTTGGGCGAGTTGGGTCGTTCTGGCAGCTGTTTTTTGAGAAGTGCGAGGCATCTCCAATACCCCTAGATTAATTTCTCCCCTTGAGAAATCCCACGAAATAGTATTCAACTTGGCTCTTTCCTGTAGTGGTTTTCTTAACCTTTCACATTTTCCCTTATTTTGCAGTATTTCGCCCATATTCCTTTCATTTGCCTCCAAAGAACTCTCGATGGTACGCATTCGGTTTTTATAGGTTTTTGAGTTTTGTTTTTTTTCCAGCCTTTGGGCGAGTTGGGTCGTTCTGGCAGCTGTTTTTTGAGAAGTGCAGGGCATCTCCAATACCCCTAGATTAATTTCTCCCCTTGAGAAATCCCACGGAATAGTATTCAACTTGGCTCTTTCCTGTAGTGGTTTTCCTAACCTTTCATATTTTCCCTTATTTTGCAATATTTTGCCCTTATTCCTTTCATTTGCCTCCAAAGAACGATAGTAAGCATTCGGTTTTTATATGTTTTTGAGTTTGTTTCCAGCTTCTTGGCAAGTTGGATGGTCCTGGCAGCTGCCCATTTTGATTTTTGAGGGGTGCAGGGCATCTCCAAGACCACTAAAATAAAATATTTCTCAAAGAACGGTTTTTGGTTGCGGGTTGCAAATTTTGATGCGTTCTTGGTGCAATAAATTGAAGGGTGATTCTGAGATGACTAGGAGGGAGCACACATGAAACATGATGTTTGAATTTATTTGCGCTTCCGGATTTGCAACGCATCGATCCTAATTACTTTACTTCGTGTGATCCCCACCATGACATTTATACATGTTCTTACTGGCACATCTTCTGGCATTCTATCTGACATATCTTCTGACATTCTATTTGGCATTCTATCTGGCATATCTTCTGGCATATGATCTGGCATATCTTCTGGCATTTCTATCTGGCATATCTTCTGGCATATTTTCTGGCATTCTATCTGGCAAATCTTCTGGCATTCAATCTGGCATTCTATCTGACATATCTTCTGGCATTCAATCTGGCATATCTTCTGGCATATATTCTGACATATCTTCTGGCATTCTATCTGGCATTCTATCTGGCATATCTTCTGGAATATCTTCTGGCATATCTATCTGGCATATCTTCTGGCATATTTTCTGGCATTCTACCTAGCAAATCTTCTGGCACTCTATCTGACATTTTATCTTCCTACATGAGGTCCGGCAGGGAACACTTGGCGTGGATACTCGCGGTTGAGGTCCGGCAGGGAACACTGGGCGTGGATGGTCGTGGTTGAGGTCCGGCAGGGAACACTTGGCGTGGATGGTCGTGGTTGAGGTCCGGCAGGGAACACTGGGCGGGGATACTCGCGGTTGAGGTCCGGCAGGGAACACTGGGCGGGGATGGTCGTGGTTGAGGTCCGGCAGGGCACACTGGGCGTGGATGGTCGTGGTTGAGGTCCGGCAGGGAGCAGGAGGAGAGGAGCGAGAGGAGAGGAGCGAGAGGAGAGGAGACGAGGAGAAGGAGGACGAGAAGAGGGAGGAGAAGGAGGAGGACGAGGACGAGGAGGACGAGGAGGAGGAGGAGGACGAGGAGGAAGCAACTGACATAAAATCTAACAACCCTCACCTGGCAGGTGGGGAAAAAACAACAAGACATACCTAAAAAATAGTAAAACGCCTTTGCAAAGCCAACATTGTGCAGGATTTCCTGATGATGTACTGTGTGATTTTCTTCAATTCTGTTTCGGTAGGCTACGCAATGCTACGCATTCCCTTTTGTCGCTAGTTTTTTTTGATACGAGTGAAGGCATCCCTCATATTTCAAAGCATGTTTTCAACATTGAGTTGGACTGGAAAGGGGGGTGGAGAACACTTGTTGTTGAAACTTGACATGTGGCACCCCCTGCAAAATAATTATGCGAAAGGGGATCAAAATAATTTTGAAATAGTATCACTCTAGGGAATCACTGGGGAAAGGCATTTTGAGGGGGGGCTAAGGGAAATTACTTCCAGGTGGTCCCACGTCAAGTCGATGAATCGAACGTACGTCAGGCCCCTTTGAAAAAAATATGTTTTATTATTTTAAGGGGGGGAGGGGAGGGGGTAACTAAGATAGGGTGATTCTCAGGGTCTTGTCTGCGCTTGTCTCCACCTGTCTCCCTGCGGATGGTGTGTGCGCCGTGTCTCCCCTTGTCTCCCATTGTCTCCCCATGTGTGTGTGTGGGCCTGTGTTAGAAGGGGTGTCTGCTTTCCCGAGGCCTTGTCTCCCCTTGTCTCCCCGCTGGTCTCCCATTGTCTCCCCACGTATGTGCCTTTGTTGGATGGTGTCCACCTTCCCGAGGTCTTGTCTCCCTTTGCCTCCCATGGTCTTACCACATGTGTTGGATTGTGTGTCCGCCTTCCCGAGGCCTTGTCTCCTTTTGTCTTCCCTTGTTGCCCTGCTTGGGGCCAAACTGCAGCTCTTAGGCCTCCATATCGTACCCCGGGCCACACCGAAACAGCACATAATTTCGTGCCGAAAAGGTCGTCCAAATCGAGCGAAAAAAGGTTTAACGTGGCCTCTGAATCTCTAGAAACCCTTGACGTGCAAAGAAAGGCTCAAGGTGTCGTCTGAATCCCCTAGACAGGACACCCTTATTAAAGGCAGTTTTTTTTTTTTGTTGTTGTTGTTGTTGCGCAAACAGAAATCCCGCTCCCCCTTGCATCAGCCAGGGTCGGCGGATATTTAGGATATTTAATCGCTCCCTGGCCCAGGCAAAGGATCCAGCACCCCGCAGCACATCTCATCCTAGTTTTATTTGTGTTTTGGATGTTGGGGCATAGCTCTTCTGCCCTGGTCAGGTCGGCCGCAACGACCCCTCATGTGCTCCTCTCAATACCTTCTGGCCGACAGCGGCCCTGAAATGCAGGGCACATGCGCGCAGAACATGCACAGTATGCTGCAACAAGGCCATGCGCTTGCAACAATTTTTAGCGAGATTGGCCGCCATTGATTAACTAATGCAGAGTTTGGAGTTTGGAGATGTATGTGTCAGGTATCCAGGAACCTTTTTCGTTTCCTATGCTTCAGTAGTTTGATGAACATTTTTATCTTCCACAAGTTGTTAAGCATGGTGCAGGGCCTGGAAGGACTCGAATTCCCCTATGGTCATCCATGGCCCTGCACAGTTTGCATCACGCAATGGTTCAGGTGCTGTGCGATGAACGGTTGGGTCCGAACCGCGCGTCGTCTGCTGGCTGCAAAGGCGCAAGTCTCGAAATGCCTTGAAGACATGATGAATTTCCATGAATATCTTGCAATTTCTATCAATTTATCAGATATCCTCACCCTCTCACAGCCTGTCACTCCCTCGTGAACAGATTCGCAACTCTGGGAGGCCGATGTGCTACTGTGTGATGCGTCCGGATCTGCTGCCCTTCATTATGCGTCAATTCACCATGAGGCGGAGCATGGCGGAGAAGTCTGAGAATGTCTGAGAATGTCTTCACGTTGTTACCCCCGCATGTCCCAGATTGATTCTCATTTTCATTTGTCTTATGCTCATTTCAAATTTCGGGGCTTTCGTGACAGTGACAGAGTGGTCCTTCGAAAGTTTCAGTCTTCAATGCTTGAATTGCACAAGCACTCGCATACGAACTCCCACCAACTGCAGGCTGAAATGTGCGCCCTTCTGCTTGCAGCACGGGCTGATCCAAGCAAAAAGGATGGATATGGCTTGGCCCCAAGACATTTGTAGTTGAAGCCTGTCAAAACTATACAGGCATATACAGGCTTTACAGAACCAAGGGCACTGTGCATGTATTGTCAACCTCCGCTATGTTCAAGTATGCCAAAGTTAAAACGTATGTTGCTGCACTTGCTGTTACCTAAATGTGCCTAGCCACCCCCCTACGGTTTGTGGGCAAGTATTGGGTTGCCACTCAGGGATTCTGAGACTATGTGAGGTTGAGCTAGTGAGCGCTGCTCTCCAACTGCTGTCACATAGTGCCCCTGGCAGCCACGAAACTTGGTGTGGATTTGCAGCAGGCAGAAGTGCATGGGACATCGTGAAGACGGTGAAGAGCTGCCACGGCCTCGAACTGGAAGACTAAGCTGACTAAGATGACTACGTAACTAAGTGTCCTACATTTACAGCAGACTGCTCCCCGGCTTTGAGCGACAGGCTGCTTGCCCCAAATGCACCAATTGCCAGCCTCCATTCCCGAGGCAGATTCGACATATGATGTATAGCCACACCATATCATGCTGAAGTTAGTGGCTAGCCTTGCAATATGTTACAATCACTTTTTGCAAGCTTTGTATAGTTTTGACTGCTTTTTATTTGCGTTCGAGGTGCTTCAAGCGCCGCTTTGCAGCTGGAACATCTTACAGCCTTTTTCTCAAGATGACTTTAGAATATTTAGAATACTTTAGACGCTTTGGATTTTGCTCAAGATGCTTTGGATTTTCCTGCCTTGGAGTTGGGCTCCTTGCATTGAAAGGGGATGAAAGGGGCGCTGCATGACTCCCGACAAGGATACATTTGCACTCATATCCAAATTAAATGATCTTTGGTAGGCGATAACATTGCAAGAACGGCTGCTCAAAATCTATTATTTCCTCAGCAACATCAAGTTGAGGTAATTAAGCCAGGGACTGTCGCTTGCTTCCAAAGCTGTTTACTGAGCGTGTTTTGCTCTAGGCCGCTGTTGAATTCAGGTTGGAGGCTCGCTCACTGACTCAGCAAAGGCCTGTAATTAGCAGTGGAGACAATATGCGGCCGCAACACAGCTTTCTTGCTGCCCAGATTTAGTGACGGTCATTTCTGGAGCTGACCGGACTGTCCTTTCAAAACAAAGCTCTTAAGTTTGCACAACAACACTGGATGCCTTTCAGCAGGTTCATTGAAGACTTCGTGGCATTGAAACGGCCTGCGCATATCTCAGCTCTAGCACTTTCTGCAACGCCCTCGTGATTTGCCATGGATGTGCTATGACGTGCTTCCTCTTTTCGACCTACTCTATCTATCTCTATCTTAAAGCACGACAACATACGACAACTCTGATGGAAACCCGCAGGATACCGAGGATAGTTCGGACTCATGTTTGGACTTGCTGGGCCGCTGGGCCTGAGGTCCTTATAAAGCGTGGTGGCAGGACCTTTCAGAGCCTGCAGCTCAGCACATGAGGGGGTTTGGAAATGCAGCAACAACTTGGCAAAGTTGCAATAAAAGCTCAAGGCGTTTGCTCGGAGGACTGCTGCAGGTGCTGGTTTGAGACTGCATCAGCGTCTTTCACCGTGTAGATTTGTCCAAGCATGTCGAAGCAGCCATTCGCAGGTCCGGTTTCTCGTGGCAGAGGGAAGACCTTTTGCGGCATGCCAGTGAAGCAAGAGCAATGGACACTTGCTTGCAAGCCATTGCCGTTGCGAAAGGTTTGGTGCTTGGATTTGGTACAAATCCGGCAAAAAGCATCGAGATCAGATTCGGTTCACGCGCCAACTGAGGCATCAGAGATTCCATATGGGTCTGACTTTGGGGTGGACCCGTCGGTGGAGCAACCGGTGACCCTGCAAGAGTTCCTGTCTGCACCAAGCGTGAAGCGTCGAAGGTCAACTACTGGCTTGGGGATACATGAGCCACAACAGAAGAAGCGCATGTACTTCTTTGTGGCTGTTGACGATGAGGCCCAACCACAACTCAGCAAATTGTTTTCAAAGGCTTTGCACTTGGTGGTGGGTGGACCCTTGACATTTCCTTGTTTTGACGTTTCATCGGGCCCATCCGGCTCCCCATTCCGCATCACAACACTTCAATTCGCTGTCGGTGAAGAAGGCAGTGGCTCGCCAATGCACTTTCACCAAGACGCTGTCAACTTGCTACTCAGTGGGAAGAAGCGATGGTGGTTGCAACCTCCAAGCCTTGCAGCCATGTCTCGGCTTCATCCATTAGATGTCCAGAGATGCGATGGAGAGGCTTTGCAATGCTATGACACTGCCTGTGTCCTAGAGCAAGAAGTTGGAGATGTTATGTATGTACCGGACATGTGGGGTCATGCTATCCTGAATTTGGAGCCGCACACCGTTTGCGCAGCAGCAGAATT